TATGCTTGAGACAAAGAAAGCTCTTAGCTTCCACTTTGATGGATGTGACGTTAAAGCCGCCCATGTACCCCACACCACTAGCTCTACTGCTCCTATTCCGAATATAACTTTCCGGTGAAGCCCTGTTAAAGTCATATATAGAGTGATATACCATTTTTCAAAAAAAAAAAAAAAAAAAACACCTCAGATGAAGCATTGGTCTATATGGCTCCCAGTTACATATATATACTCTCAAATTTGTAAGAATTTTTTTAAATAACCTTTTATTAAATTATCTATAGCCCCCGAAATTTCAAGACCGGCTCTGAGTAAGATCATTTACCTTCATCAAGGTTGTAGAAGTTGAGGTAGAGAATATGAGTTGCTACAACTGCAAGAATAGGTGCAGTAACCATGACTTTGGCAGATTTATCATGTATACTAAAAGACCTGATTATAGCTAGGATAAGGGAGAATCCAGCTAACACTGTAGCTGAAGAGTAATCTAGTCTCTCTGTCAATGCAACATCTCTATACAAACCATAATTTTGAAGCCAAAAAAAAAAAACATGAGTGAAAATTTTAGTTTGAAACTGTATAACATGGAGATGGTTGAATGTTACCTGCTGTGACAAACACCACTCCAGAAGAGTGAGTTCATTACAATGATGGCATAGATATGCAGTAACCCGTTGTACTCGTAGTAAGTTTTCCTGTTTGGCTGGAGAGGTAAGTTATAGTAAACGAGGATGAAGTATGAGACCCATCCATGGAACTGTATTGCTAGGTCAAGAGCAGAGAGAGCAACGGAGACAGGTTCCTGAACATGTAATAAACATATTTATTACTAACAATACTGATCTAAACATTAGTTTCATTGAAGCTGAGACCATTACCTGAATCCCATAAACATGTTTGAGTGGCCATTTACCAAAGTATTTTGTAGGTTTCTCTCCGTTTCTTTTCCTCTCTTCTTCTCTTGTCATCATGCATTCGTACTGACAATCACTCTGGCAATCCCATTGTTTCCAACGCAAGTAAAGTGGCTCTTGCATGTACCAAGGACCGTCTATTGCTTTTCCATCAGCTGAGAATTTACAGTGCTGGAAGCAATTGTCCCCCACGCATCCAGTTTTTTGACATTGATCAACACAGGACCTGGAAACCAATCAGGCACATTAACACTGCTTTGCTTTTAAACTGAAATAAAAGCCAAAAACTTCTAATAAAAATCTCTTAACAAGTTCTAGTCTTTTTTTTTTCATAAGCTAAAGACAAGAGTAAGCTGTTACATGGCAGACAAAACAAAGAACAACATAGAAAGAGAAAGAGAGAGAGAGAGAAGCTTCCACTAAGCAAAAAAGGAAAGACAGAACCTCTATCAAAAACACAACTTGCAGTCTTTTATTTTACCAACAAAAACAATGACCCTACAGTAATAAAAATCAAGGCTTTCAATCCTTAAACGTGTTTCAACTCTAACCACAAGAATTTGCCAAAAACACTATCTGGAAAAAAAAGTCAAAAACCACATAGTTCTAATCACTTTCCCCACCACCACCACCATCATCTCCTGACCACTCCCCTTTTGTGGCTCTAATCCCACTAAACCCCTAGAGAATCATCCATACGGACCATACCTAACAAAGTAAAAAAAAATCTAATTTTTTTTTTTCAACTTTCACAAAAACAGAGAGAGAGAGAGAGGACATTTGATTACATGTATCAAACACATAATTTCAAAAACATTCGGAATGATTTCAAATCAGTAACAAGTTCTGCAATCACTGAATATTAACGGTCGACTCTCACAGTAATCCAAATTAAAAAAAAAAACATTAGCCAGAGAGGTCAACTAAACTGGAAGACCAACGAACTCAGATATGAAGAAAAAAACAGAGAACGTTCATAATCGAATCTAAGAGTAGTAAACAGTACACTGAACGAAAAGGTTCTTTTACTTGTAAAGAGGATCAGAATCTCCTTCACTAGCTTCAAGTGATGAAACAAGACACGAGACTGCTACAACAAGCAGAACCCATCTCAGATTTCGCGCCATCCTAATAGCAAACGGTTAGAGAAAGAGAGAGAGTTGAGAAAAGAAGAGAAAGGAAGAGGGATGTTTGTAGAGGGGAAGAGTTATGAGTCGGTGGGGATGATCGGAGAGGTTGAGAAGATGTTTCGGTTGTGTGGCAGCTTCTTCTTCTTGTCCATCAAATAGCGGAGACAGGTGGATGCATCGAGCAAAAGAGAGAGAAAGAGAGAAGAAAGAAGATCTCGTTGAGAGAGAGAGAGAGAGAGAGAGAGAAGATATCCCGTGAGCGTGAAGGAGGATGGAGGAGAAGAAGTTTGGCGAAACAGAGGGAGACGCGTGGAGCTCTGTAATAAAAGATTTATATCACAGACGTCGATCGATACACCTCCACTTCACTTTTGTCTTTATAGTATAAATTTTTTTTTTTTTTAATATTATTTTCCATTTTTTTGTTGAGTGAATTTGTTGAAAATCCTATAAGAAGTTATTAATTAACAAAATACACAAACCTAAAAATTGTGGGGATGAGTTCTGTTTTGCAATTACGAAAGTAGCCCCAAACCATTTTATTCTCCAATATTTGGGTAGACCATTTATAGGTATTAAGCTAGAAAGAGTTTAGTTTTAATTGGGGGGTTGGTATTCGCGTGCGCATTAGCATGCTAATTGTTTAAATTTATACATGCAAATTTAAAATTTAGCACTGCTAATGAGTAGCTGATTAAACTCATAACCAAAAAAACATAATTTAATGGTTTCGGAAAGATATTTAGTTGAGTATTTGATTCTGTTTATCTTGCTAATGTAGTTTGTATATATGTACCTGAAATATTTAGCACATGTAATAATTAACTGATTATGTACAAATAATACAATAAATTATCAGGTTTTGAAGACAATTTGGTATTGGCGTGCGCGTTAGCATGCTAATTGTTAAAACCTACACATACAAGTTACGACGGCATTTTATTTATGTCTAATTGGGTTTTAACATCCTAAAACTTAATGGATTTTGGAGCCCAAATTATTTGAAGACAATTNACAATAGCTTAGGTAGCGTGTGTAGATAGTTAACAGAAGAAAATAAGAAAGAGAGAGAATAACTTGTCGATACAAACAAAGCTTTATCTTGTATAGGGGTACAATGGTAAACAGAGCACTACACACTCTTACTAAAGGACAAAAATAGGGTAGATAGCTAATTTGTTGATCTTCCTAATGTGTAGAGTGCAAATACTCTTTTTTGTTTCCTCACATCAAATAATATAATATTTTATTATTATATATTCATTATGTTTCATTTTAATTATCTAAACGCAGATTAAAAAACATTAATTTTACGTATTTTCAAAATAAAATTATTGTTATTTATATTATACACCTAACCACATTTTAACCAATAAAAATATAATTTTCTATAAAATCAATAAAAAATTTCATTGAAATTATAAAATGATATTAGTTTCGAAACAAAAAGTTTAGTCTTCCACGAAAATCAAAATTAAAACGGATATAGTATTAAAAAAATTCGTTAAAAAAAAGTATGACATGTTATATGTTGATTTTGTATTTATCAATTTGGTTTTCTGAATCGGTAAACACTGTTAACTAGATTAAATGTTGTTTGTAAGAAAATGTTTTATAAAATGACATTTGTTTTGAAACAAAAAATATATTTTATAACGACAATTAAATTAAAACGGATATAGTATTAAAAATGCGTTAATGTTCAAAATTTATCTAACTATTTAAAAAAAATTATGTCACGTTATATGTTGATTTTGTATTACCAATTTGGTATCTGAATCGGTAAACGCCGTTAACTAGATTAAATATTGTTGGTAAGAAAATGTTTTATAAAATATGAGAAAACTCAATTTGGAATTTTGATGGTCCTATAGAGCCTAGTAATAAATAAGAGGTATGACTTATTCATTATTCCCCATCACCATTTAAAAATTATTCCAACCAAAAACAAAACGAAATCAAATAAGTAGGTGGCTTTGGGGGAATACATGACAGCACGATGTTTCACAGTCCTCACGTTCAAGTGTTGCGCGTGTGAATGAGAGATCCGGTCCCCGAAATTTTTGGAGGAAAATATATTTCATTTCGTTGATTAATTGTTTGTTAACTTTTCGTTAATTATCTATCATAAAGTCAAACAAATCAGGGTTTTTAGATTTTAAGTTTCGATCATTCAAATATCTTGAAGCATCGGGTGATACGACAGACACAGAAGATCATTGTTATGATAGAAGAAAAATAAATAATTTTCAGAAACGTAGTAAAAGAAGATCAAACATGATATGTTATCTTAGAGCATCATTATCGCCGTAGCTTAAGTGAGTTGCTTAAGATAATTGTAATTAAAAAAAAATGAAAATTACATATTTATGGAAGCAACGTTGTTTAATTAGGAGAAGGAAGCTACGTTGCTTATGGGACAGGTGTCACACATAGAAGTCTCCTACTATCTCTCATCGTCGTTATCATCACCATCGTCTCAGTTTTCTCTGAATTTCAAAACTGGTACATTCAGTAGTCGCTGCGTGAAGGGTGGAGTGAGAAGCTTAGAGAATTAGTCTGGTCACCGAAGCCTCGATGCATCACTTCTCTGTTCTTGTTCCGACGCCCTCGATTGATCTTACCAAGCTTCATTGAATTGGGTTTTCAGTTTTAATGGAATTTAAGTTTCTGGGTTTGATTGTTTGTTCATAAAGTTTAGATCTTTGATGATATCTCTTCTTGGGTTTTGCTTCTATAGATCTCTGTTCTTGCCTTGTTCTATATGATGAAAACGAATTTGTAAACGCGAACAGTTTTAAAGAAAGCTCCGGGAGGTGCACCTGCTAATGTAGCTGTTGGTGTCTCTAGTCTAGGTGGATCCTCTGTTTTCGTGGGAAAGGTTTGATGATTAATTAATCAGTCAAATGGCTCTCTTGTTATTTAAACTCTAATCTTAGTTTTCAAAATTTTAGGAAAAATGTTAGCTGAGATTCTAAGGCTGAACAACGTGGACAACTATGGGATGAGATTCGACCACAAAGCACGTACAGCTCTCGCCTTTGTTACATTAAGAGCTGATGGAGGGAGGGAGTTTCTGTTTTGACTTTTGGAGATGAGGAAGCTCCTTGTGTTTGAGCTTGGTTTTCCCAATTTACATGTTCATGGGTTCTTATAGAGTGAAGTGATCACTGATGGTTCTCTCACCGTTTTAGTGTTGGTGCTTTGTTTTAGTTGAAGCCTGAGGTGTTTTATGAATAGCAGAAGCTTAAGCAGGAGACTGTAGACTGATGTTTCTTGCTATTAATTTTTGTGTAAACTAGTCTCTTAAGTCCATCCTCAGTGATCCTTGTACTTGTTCAGGTCCAAGACCTTCTGTCTCAGTCCAAGACCTTCTGTCTCAGTGTGGAGAGCATCTGGAGAAAGGTGATATCCACCAGGGTCCAGCTGTGCTTGGGTTAGCGATGGTGAGTTATTTTTGAGCCAGACAAGATTTTTTCTGAAATGTAATATATTTGTTGTTTTTCCAACGGTTGTAGCTTGTTTCTTTGGCTCAAACTGGACATGAGATATCGCATAATGTTCCTCATAGCGACGATATAGTAGTGACTAAAGCATGAGTTAATGTATGGTTCTTTGTGTTTCTTGTGTCGTTGATGTTCTGAGTATTGATTGTGTCATGTATGTTCTGAGTATTGTGTCATGTCTTGTGTAGTCATCTCAAAACATTTTTGAGAGTAATGTTGATGAGAATTAAGAACCCTAGAATAAGAGCTTTGCAATGGAGGAGGAAAAGTATCAAAGTGCTTACCTATGTCTCTTACTAAAAATAACTCTTTAAATACTATTATAATATAATTAAGCAACTCATTATAAGTTGTTAGGATAATGATGCTCTTACACTTGGTAATTAATTATTTATCAGTACGAGGAAGATTTGATTCCACTTTCCTAAACTCGTATCTTTTCTCAAAGAGTTTATATGAATTTTCTTTTGGTTCTTCGTAAATGCCAATTTACTCCAGAGGGTCCCCTAGTAATTGGAACCTTAAAATTTGGAGTTAAGTACAGTTATATTTAATTTTAATGTAATGTCATGAAACATGAGCTTGGTTTTCTTAAAAATATAAATCTCCATCTAATTTATTTAAAACTATAAAGTCTTCTTAAACATACTCAGAAGTTTTTCTCTCTTAGTGTTAACTATACAAACTACAAATTATCAACATTTCTTTTGTCAATTCATCTGCAGTTTTCAATCAATTTCCGCTAACAATATCGTCAACAACAAGGTCGGTCGAATAATCATTATAATATGTAGTATCGGGTCGTTAAATTTCACAAACAAACAAATGTGAGCTATGTGTATGAATTGATATTTACTTCTGCAAGCTGTAATTTGTTTTTATCTATACTATTAAAAGAGAAGGAGTCTAAATAAATCTACCTATGAAAGGTTGTTGGACCCTTTCATTTTTAGTCCAAACTATTATTTATAACCAAAATTTATTTGTCGAACCTTACATAAATTAAATCAATCTCTACCTTTTATTTTATTTTTTTAATCAACCACTACTCTTAAACAAGACATCTGTTCAAAAACTGAGACTCCTACTCGATTACGACACGCACAACGGTGAGGTCTGTGAAGATTTAGACTGAAATGGTGATGTATACCGCCATCTGCGTATTGGCCGCATAGACCTTGGTTTGAAAGAAACACGAACGTATTATATTTTGTTTATTAAACAGCTTATGGAGCTGAGAAACTGAAATCAAGTTTCTTCAAGTTTATATATTATAAGGTTAAAGCTTCAAAATTGATTGTTACGCTATAAAATGTGTCAACTCCATATAACATTTACAAAAAAATTGTAGGTATTACCGAGAACAATGGTGGAAAAGAAACAAAGGCATAAACTAGGGTTATGTGAAAAATGAAGAAGATGAGGGTAGAAACGTAATATTTCACTGAACCATAAAATTAAAAAATTTGACATAACGTTAAGTTTGATGTGTTATGGAATAAATATTACTACAGTTAATTGGTTAAAAACTACTCTTCCGGTAAATCTACATTAAGGTCTATGCGTACCCACGTATAAACCAAAATATCACAAAGTACATATTTTGACCTTATTTCTACGAAACGTTGAAAGAGTCATTCAATAACATTTTTATATTTAAGTTCAAAAAACAAAAAAAATTACATTTTTATTTTTTATTTCTCGAAAAAACATCCTTATATTTAACATAATAATATTATAATAATATTAGCAAGTATAGCAATATAAATTATGTAAGTTTTAACTAAGAAAAACTATAAAGACTTAATTTTATATAAAAATAATATTCACTAAAACAAATAAAAGTAACTATATTATGCTTAGTGTTGGACATTCCAGTTTATGTTTCAGGTTGAGTTTTAGATTATTCCGGTTAAAATGTTTAAAAATTATTTAAAATCAACATTTTTGGATCGGATCGGTTCGAATAATGTTGGGTCGGGTTTTTATTATTTATGAAATCTGAAACATATTCTATCTATTATAAATATAACATTAATTAACCACGATGTTCATCAATCATAGAAACACATGAAAAAAATGGCGAACAATATGTAGTTTACTTTCTTGGACGAGACTACCCACGTTCTAATTGAAAATACAATGTTCTGCAGCTGGTTTGAATTAAACAAGGTCATTATTGTTGGTGGAAAACTAACTCCAGCTGAAATTTTTACAAGATTTATTTGGTATAAAAAAGATCGAAAGTTTAATGATAAAAAATATTTAGTATTAGGAGAATCAACAATGCTCTATGAAAAATTGACGAGGTATTTTATTTGCGTGTCTTGCTGAATATTATAAGAGGTCCGACATGTTATGAAAGAAATCAAAACGTTCAACAATGTTCTCTATTCGTCATATAAAAAGACCTCTTTTCTTGGGGTTTGTTAGAAGATGATCAATAATACATAGACGAATCTTTGATATTATTTTAGTTTGTTGTTTTGATTTTCTATAATAATTTATTTCTGTTTCATTCTATGTTTTGATTTTTCTGAGATTGTTTACGAATAATGATTTAAAACCTACAATTATAATTTACAAAGAGAACTCCTCCCACGTGCAGGCTATAAATCATAAAAAATTGATAAAACAAGATAATTAACAAGCCTATAAACATAAAACATAACTATATGATGTAAAACTCAAATTTCATAACTATTACAAATATTCATAACTATAAACTATTCATAACTATAAATTTTCGATCTTTTTAATCCCAAATAAACATAAAACACAACTATATGATATAAAATCCAAATTTCATAGACTACACAAAAATCTGAATTTCATAACTATTAAAACAAATCGAAATCAAACCTGCGCTTTCTAAGCGCGGGTCAAAATCTAGTATATTCTTTAAGTAACAACCATATAATCTCCCCTTCTTTCAAGGGCACCTTATCAAATGTTTCATTTCGTCCACAGTAATCCAAAAACATTTTACTAATATCGGCTGTTACCAAAAAAAAAAAAAAAAAACCTAGATTTTCCTCCTTTAGGAGAATATTCGAAATTGGATACTTGAGATCCCAAGCTTACCTTTGGTTTGATTTGGGGTTTAAAATGTAACTTTCTGGGGATTTGTAGATTGTTACTAATGTGTGTTATCTTTGTTGAAGCCATTGTCTCTCACTTTTCTTAAGAGTTTACTATTTGATTAAGGTAACACAAAGTGAAGAAAGCATAGGTCTTATCGTGGAACATTGTGAATTTGTGGCTAGTTTTCTCATGTTCATCCTTCACCTCGCATATTTATAGTTTTCTAAATAATGGGCTGAAGGGAAACAGACATTCATGGGCCCAATAACAAAAATGTGGGCTAGCTTACTCATTCAGTTTTGGGCTCAATCTATCTATGAAGCGAAGGAACCGGAGGTTTTGTTTCTGGTTTGAGACATTTGGTTCATGTTGGTCTTGTACATAATGCACAGTTGAGCACTGTGAATCATTTTTACCAAATGAACGAGACCGAAGTTGGTTTAGTCAAAGCAAATGAATATATGGTTGAGCAGTAATTTGTATGTTGAAACTAAGAGCATCATTATCCTAAGTGTTTATGGGGGGGGGGTGCTTAACAAAAACTAATATAATAGTGGATGGATTCCAAGATAGGTCTCAAAAAATTTTAAGCACCGACAATTCTACAGTTTATTTAAGCACTGATGTTTGCAGACTTCACTGAAATATGACGATTTACGATTGGTTCATTTTTTAATTTTTTTTTATTAAAAAAATATAAAAGTTTTTAAGCATTCCATTATGGATTGTTAGGATAATTATCCTCTAAATAACTTATAACTACTATTAGTAGGAGACCAGCTGTAAAGATAATTTAGAAAATCAAGTACATGTAATTTTAATTTTTTTGCAATTTTCATCTCTTACAATATTATTATAAAGATTTTTGTTTTGCATGCACTTGATACACTTGTGAACAAACGCGAATTAAAACTTAAAGAAAGTAAAGAGAACAAAAATTTATTAAGTCAAATATTTATTTAGAGTTTGTATATTGTTTTGTGAATAAATTAGTCTATAATCCTTTGACTCATATATATAGTAGGTTCAAAATCTAATTTTTTTTTTCCTTTGAAAAAATTTATATCTAGAAAAAACAAAAGAAATTTAAAACTTTAAGACGTATCGTACCACTGAATGTTGAGTTTTTAGGGGTAAAGAAATATTTAAAACACTTCCAGATACAGCACACAAAAAAGTGTTTTGGCCAGAAGCCTTTTTCATTTCGTCATGCAAAACATGTTTCAAGTGAGCTTTTCATGTGAGCCTCTCTCTCCACCATTCCGCATCCACTCGAAACTCAAACCCACAATTGTGTGTTTATATATTACAAAAGCTATAGAAAATTTGAAAATATACCACCACACTAGAAGATAACATATAAACATAAAAACATGTGAAAAGCTATCCAACCATACTAAAAATATTTAAAAGCTAACCTTAGATAATCGACCAAATCTAAAAACACTACAACCGTCCAAATTGTTTAAAATGCAAGCCAAAATAGTGGGTTGTTGGAATTATAAAATTTCCTAAAACTCTTAAAAAGAGCCACAGCCATTTTTCACTTATTAATTATTAATAGTTTTAGAACGTTTCGTGAGCGAATATGTGCGTAGGAAACACTTATAGATAGATGCTTTTATATAAAAAAAACAAAGACTATCAGCCATTGTGGAAACTAAAGCCTATAAAATTGGGAGTGCTTTTGTAAAATATGGACCGATTTGACTTTGTCAAATTTCATCTTTACCCATTGGTCCTCCATCCTATCGGTTACTTATTTTCCAAACTCCATCAACGATAAAGATTCCCATTATTGTTCATCGTCAATGCTTTCCTAATCTCAGCCTTCCATATAACTCCATATTGCCAGTGAAAAAGAAGAAGAAAAACTCCATATAACTGTACATCGACACGACACATAGCACTCTAGTATCTAACTAAAAGGAGAAGCATTACAGAGACTAATATTAATTCGATGATGTGCTTTCACCGTTTTACTACACCTTAACAAGAGGCTTTTTTGTGCTAAACTCAAGAAGATTATATTTCCTTATCGCATTAGCTAAAATGGCTCGTCATCTTTTGATTAAAATACATGTGCTCGGTTAGATGAACAGACCCACCATCTGCTATGCATATATTTGGCTAGATGTTTCTTTTTCCTTTCTGTTTTGTATAGGTTCTTACAACGTACTTCTTACGTTATTGCTGAGAGGATCAAGATTAGCAATAGGAGACTTTGCTACGCATTGATCACAATATGGAAATGCAATAAGATGCTTTATATAGGAAATACATCTTTCTTCAAATTCTATTCTTCTTTTTTTTTATAAGAGATTATGATACGTGTTAGGCTTGCTCACCCGTCTTCAATGAATACTAACAAAATTAAATATAATAACGTGTTAGGGTTTCTATCAATTATATAAATTCCTAGATCGTCTGCTTTCATCAAATGTTATGGTATATACACACGACATGACAGAACAACCAATGCGGTGATAACTGGTTCGATGTTATATCGTCCAAAGTATGAATAATAGACTCGAAACACGTTGACAAAAACCAAAATATTGCTGGTGATTGGTGAACCACTTTTTCAAATGAATAGGGTATTTAGTAATTTCAGATTTTTGAAAGCCATCCATAATATGTGAGGCTAATTAAGCAATCAAAAAGGTAGTTGGAACGTTGGCTTTTGAGGGCTACGTTTCTCTTATAACCCCAAGTTCCATGGACCATGTCCCTTGCTAATATATCCTAAACCTTTTAAATTTTAAAAGAGTATGTAATATATTCATCCAATACCATACATAGTATCTAATTTCTTATTTGCATATTTTTCTGATATATTATTTAATATTAGCTAAGTCACACTACACATGATACCATGTTAAGTATATTTTTTCCACCTGTCCTCTTTTAATTGAATACTAGTATACTTTTGGCATAACATATACATAAATATTCAATATTTTCCCAAGAGTGTTGGCTGATATAGAAACAAATTTCTACTAAAAGAATAAAATAAAATAGAATCATAACAAATTAACAATCAGTGATAAGGATATTGTGACTCAGAGGAATAGTGGAGAAAGTGGCTAAAAAGTAAAACCACCTTTAGTGAGTCATGGCCGTTGACCTGCACCACAAGAGATTAAAAGTCCTCATTAAACCCAACCAACACGACACAAATACAGAACCCCTAAACCTAAACGACGAAAATACCCTCACTTCCCTCACTAATATATAAACACCACTCGAATGCATGTAAGGGATAAACGCAATCTATATACTCATTCTTTAAAGAGAGAGAAGATTCAAAGAGGCATGAGAGATTCAAGAAGAGCATCTTCAGACATGAGTGCTTGGTGTTCTGCTGTTGTGTTGTTGTCTTTGATACTTTTGTTATCAGTTCGTGAGAACAACGCTTCTGATTCTCTCAGAGGGTCTCAGTTCTCAGAGAAACCTTGCGAAGAGATTTACGTCGTGGGAGAAGGAGAAACGCTTCACACCATCGGCGATAAATGCGGCGACCCTTTTATAGTTGAGAGAAACCCGCATATCCATGACCCGGATGACGTCTTCCCGGGTCTTGTTCTCAGGATCGCACCTTTTTACTTCTCTAGGAAAGTGAAACATATATAAAAATGTTAGTTGTTTCTTTTAATTTTGTATGCGTGCATGTATATATATATATATATACTATATGAATTCCAAAACAAATGCAGAAGAAACAGAGTCAAAAACAGAGTAAACATTTAATTTGATGTTTTTTTGTCTAGCAAAAAAAAACAAATTTCATTAATTTCAAATTGTGGTTACAAAAACATTATAGAATTTTTTTTTGTAACTAGCAAAAACATTATAGAATTGCTGGAAAGAAATTAGTACCTACACAAATGTATGTTTTTACAATGAAGAAAATGCAGCAGAAGGGAATTTACGATGCTTTTTCTGAGGAGTTGTCTTAGAACGTTAACAGATTATATGATCTTTTATTGTCTAACTTCATATTTGATCTACTTCCGATTTGCTTTGTATGCAGCTTCAGGCTGAACTTTCTTTTCACAAACCAAATCTTCAACATAGCCCGTGTTTTCAAATGCAATTCCAAAAAACTAGACATTATGGTACCAACATTCCGTACCAAGGTCCTTTAAGAAATTGTAGCATTGTAATCTTCCAGAAATGACACCAAATGATTAGGTGAATTTGTTGTTAGTCATAGTTTCGGGGCTTTGCATTGAAAAAATTAATAATTTAAACAAAATGCCAAATTAGTAAAGGGTCAAAGACTTTGTAAAAGGGGTTACATTATTATGAAATCTAAATGTTAACTTCGGCTTTGTCATTCTTGCAGAAACATAATTCTCGTATTCAAGGAACAGTAAACTGATTAATTTTTGAACTAACTGTGCTATACAAAATAATAACTGATGAATATATGCTTGTAAAACGTTGGACGAAAATGAATTCAATTGATATTATACATTCATTTTTTTTTTTGGTAAAATGATATTAAACATTAAGCCGTGTAATGATAGTACGTAACTGGCCGAAAACATATGAGAAGAATACTATTTTTGGCAGAAGCCCATGATCTCGTTTAATCTTCGGCTGCAACTGGATTGTTGATTTTTGGAATGGAATGCTTTGAAATGACTTATTCCATTAATTCCAAAAAAAAATTCACCATTTGATATGAATGGAATGTAATACTCATTCCATGAGTTCCACAAACATTCCAAAAAATTTACAAAGAAAAACATTCCTAATTATTCCACTACAATTTTGTTCATGAATGAATGGAATGAAATCTATTCCATTTTTTGCTGTATTCCATTCCTATCATTCCATTTATTTGCATTCCATTAATTCATAATTTTTGTATCAGTTACAGTTCGTTTTGAAATTTATCAAATTAACAAGACGAATGTGGAAAAAAAAACAAGACGAATGCGACTTTCCGTTTATGAAAACTGTGTCCAACCTTCATATACATGTTTTTCGATGCTCCATTGTTTGTTTCTCTCGTGTTACAACTGAACTAAAATTATCTCTAATTATTTTACTATTTTTTATTTTTAAAAGTTTAATATATATTTTTAATAAATTAAAAATTTATTCAAATGTATTTTCTAAAATATTACTTTTAAAATAAAGATAGATTGTATTTATAATAAATCAAAATTTATATTTTAGAAGAAAAAAGAAATAAGTTAGAGTAGTTTTCCATCTAAATGCTATTTTCAATGCAAATATGAAGGTTAAAAAGTTGATAAAAAATGAGGGTTAAATTATGAAAATATGTTCTTTTGCCGGCTTAGTTTATGTTCAAGTATTCTATTTCCTTTGGTTTAATGAGGTACTAGATTTTGACCCGCGCTTTTTAAAGTGCGGGTATTTTTGTGTTGATTAATTTGTTAAATTTCTTGACATTTTAATTATATCGAACATACTTTGTAAACTTAATAATACATCGGTTTTCTAAAATTTTACCTTATTAATGTAATTGTATAAATATTTTCTTTAGTAATTTGTTTTCAGTGTACAAAATCAAAATGTTTACTTGTGAGTTGTGACATGAATGATTATTGTGAAGTTTAAAATTGTGATCTGACAATTATTAAAAAGATTTTGATATGTTTTTAGATAATAAATATATATACATATTTAGAAACTGTTATAATAACAATTATCCCTCTTTACATAAACAACGGTTAAATAGTTAGAACACATATAAATCATAATCCGAAAGTTAGTCTAAGAAAGCAAACATGAAAAATATTTACATTCTCATCAGTTAAAAATGTTCCTATAGTTTCTCCGGATAAAGAAAGGGTATTGCTTCCATGTGCGAAATATTTTGAGGTGAATCAATCAACATGTTTTGTAAATTTTCATATTAGAACCATCTAATTTTTTTTACTTCAATGGTATTGTTTAGAAAGCGTAAGAATAAGCTATATATAATTAAAAATTTTACATATTTTGTGGATCTTACAAAATCATGAAATATTTCTTATGAATATGCTAGTAGGTAATATTTTGATATCTTTCTATTTTCATATCGCAAAAGTAATGATTTTGATTGTTGGCCAAGTTTGTTTGATATAAAACTAATTAGAAAATAAGCTATATAGATTGTTGGCCAATTTGTTTTGCTATGAAATCCCACATTTAGTATGCAAAACTAATAATAAATCTAAGTAATCATGTACTATATCTAATTAAAAATTTTACATATTTTGTGGATCTTACAAAATCATGAAATATTTCTTATGAATATGCTAGTAGGTAATATTTTGATATCTTTCTATTTTCATATCACAAAAGTAATGATTTTGATTGTTGGCCAAGTTTGTTTAATATAAAACTAATTAGAAAATAAGCTATATAGATTGTTGGCCAATTTTGTTTGCTATGAAATCCCACATTTAATATGCAAAACTAATAATAAATCTAAGTAATCATGTACTATATTTATAACCTATATTTAAAAATAAGTTTTAATCTTGTTAGTATATTTGGTGATTTTGTTAACAGATAACAAACCTGAGTTTTGTATAGCTAAATGATGTGATTTTGAAAAGGTTGGGGAAGTTTATTTGTTATCTATTGTTAGAAATTGTTTATACATTTTGTTTGAAAATGTAGTTGAAGTCGTTGGGAAGGAAAATATATATTTTTTGAAATAAAACTACTACAGTACTTAAAGCATCTAAACAATTAAATTCAAGGTCAGAGGTATGTATTACTGTATAAGCTTCGGTTTAGAGGTATGAATTTAGGGGTTTTAGTTTCTATTACATTATAGATATTTCTTAGGGTATATACTTCAGATTTATAGTAAATATTTAGTGTTTTTATACTTTGAATTTGTATGGTTCATGTAATATAACTAAACATATATATAGTTATATTCGTGTGTTTTAGTATAGATGAAACTGATTGGCTTAATAATCACAACAAATGCAAGTTATATCATTATTTGTCAAGGTTGAATTGCATCTACTTATAATCGTGTATACTTTTTTACTATAAAAGATGAAACTGTTTAATATAGTAATCATAACAACTCTAGTTATATAATAATTTGTGAAAGATGATCTATTTAAATAAAATTAAAAGGAAAATATTTATAATAATAATAGGTCGATGAAATAGTAAGAGAGATAATGAGTTTGTTGGTAAGAAAGGCAAAAGACATTACTATCCTTAATGAATGACAATAATCCTTTGTAAAGTAGATGACATTAGTTGTAATAATCAAGGGTAATCAATGGCAGAATCATATTAGTGATTCTGATTTAATAGTATAGATTACCAGTAACAACAAATATTAGTTAGAAATACTTTTAGACCAACTCTAATGTAATACTCTATTTTTTCTTTTAAATAGAGGAAAAAATAAATATGGAATACAAAATATTTAAATTCTACTTCATATCTCATTTTATAATAGAGTAACTAGAGTTTTTACCCGCACGTTCGTGCAGATATATTTTTATTTTTAAAAATTTATTTAATATTAATGTAAATGTTTTAAATATATAATTTATATTTATATGTTATATATTTTGTAAATTTATAATCTAATTGGTGTAGGTTTTTATTCAACATTATTAATATATAATATTCTTTAATTATTTTTAACTGAAAATGTTTTACTTTATTATTCAACATTATTAATATAAAATGTTTTTTATATTTTTATATTTTTTCAACATATTATTTTATAATAAAAATATTAAATTTCCAGTTAAAAATAATTTTCACTAATATTTTCTGAATTAGTAAAATTTTCTGATATTCTATCTTTTTTAAATAACACATGAACTAAAAGTTAGTTATATACTATTATATTTTTATATAATCATTTTAGATAATATTTTTTGTGAGTTTTAAATTAAGTAATTAATAAGATATAGTAAAAATTTAACATTATGCTAACCTTTTTTTATTAAAAATATACATAATTTATGATGCTAATCCTTTTAATGGTGAATAAATTTTCTTATTTAAGTGAAATAAATTTTAAATAAAGTTTCATTTACCAACTTTATTTATTTTATTTAATTCATAGTGCAATTCTATTTTAATATAACATAGACTATAATATGAAATTTATAAAATAGTATAGGCTTCTTTTTTTTGTTATTATAGTGAAATTTTAATCAATATTAATGTATAATAGTATCTATTATATTAAAAGAGAAGTCATGACTCATTTCATGTGTGATTTTTTTTTATTTGGACCATTAACAAAAAAGATTTATTAAATATATTTCATTTCTTTGTAACCACTTTAATCATAATATCTGTGATATCTTTTTATTTTAATATAAATATGTATTAATTCTTTTAAAAAATCTGTTGAAAGATTTTAGTAAGATCTTAACTATAAAAACATTATACAAATATTTCACTAATTAATAACTTGAATAAAATTTCGAATTAGTAATGAAAATAATTATACATTAATATATATATATATATATATATATATATATGAAAACAAAACCCGCGCGGTTGCGTGGGTCTAAATCTAGTGATATTATTAATTATGAAATTCATTATTATGTTATTTTATAAAAAAATCTTTAAACTTTTAGTAAGATTTTGTTAGATTTTCTCTCAACCGATTCTGTTATAACTAAAAATAAAATATAAATCTATTATTTTCAGCATATATGATATATATTTGATTGATTAACCTAAATAATTTAATATGTCCTACTAAGTAA